ATTAATTGAAGTAAAACGAATATTTTCGGATTCATCATCATCCTATCAGAGTCCACTGTTGAGCAAAGGCCTCTTCTAACATGGAGAAGGTTTGAACATTAATTACCACGCTTGCTCAAGACGGGTTGGTGATTTCAATCTTATAATTTGAAATTATAAGTCCAGGTTTCCTCACGATGTTTTCCTTCACCGTCTGTCTGTGGTGTCTTAATACTCTTAGAAAGTACATATGACTCGGAAAAATTGCATTGGTACTAGCCAGGTTTCGAACCCGCACCCTCATGCTTCAGAGGCCTACTTCTAACCACTGGGCCACCACGGCTTTTTTACTTCGGTTACATGCAAGAATAGAAAAATCGGGAGTATGTAGTTTTAAAGTCAAAAATAACGCGTAGTAATACAAAAAAATATTAGTTTCATTTAAAAGATTATTTTCTTTCTGACTACATACATAGAATAGTTTCATTTTATATTTATTTTATAAAATTATTATTGATACAAATGAAGTATATATCTCTTAATTAGAGCAATACACTTTCTGTGATTTGATTTTGATTGAATGCTCAGTGATGAACACGCGGAGAGAAATCATTTGGAGATCACGACAAGAGGCGGCTGTAACACGGGAAAGTTAAAATATTCACAACACAACCAATCATCTATTATAATTATCATCTAATGTATTTAATCACCTTATTTTTCATACATATCAAAATATTTAACGAGTTTCCATAGTATATGTATAACTTTAAAATTTTAAATACATTAGTAGTCATTTGATATTGATTATTAATATAACAAGCTTTTTAGATGAATGTAGATCATTGAAGTAGGTTCTCGTGCCATATAACTTGTTTAGCGAGTCATATTGAGGAACCTACAATACTGTTGGTACATCACGTATTGCGAACATTCATAACAATATCTGACCCTAATATTATAAAAAAACGCGGACAAATTATTTCTATGTTAGCCTTAAGAACTTTCACCAAGTTTTAAGGTCTATTAATTAAATTTATTGTACTTATACCAACTTTTCGTTAATATCTATCTTGTTTTTGTAGATATATTATTCTGTAGCCATCTAATATAATATCACTAATTCTATCTATAGATAGCCGACCGGTATGTTCCGTTACTTCTACAAATCGGCTCGCATACTAACATTTTCATTGCACTAACAATAGTTCAAGGAAATGTCGCCCTTTTTAATGTGATATGACGGGTGCATTTCCCATGACCTTATAATAATGATACGTCGTTCTTATATTGTATGTTAAACAATATTTAGTGCTATGTGAGACTTGTTAGGAACGGATACGTTTTCTTAATCTTATGTATTAAAAGTTTCAATATACTTAATAAAAACTTGCTTAATGTACACCGACCCCCTAAAGTTGTGTTAAATTTTATATCAAACACAAACATTTTACTGACCAACTTATTTTATTTATATGTAACTCGCAGATTTCTCTATAGTTTAAAAGATTAATGAAAGACAACCTAACATTAATTTTAATGCAATTCATTATTAGCTGTTTGGACGAAAAAAATTAAGACGAAAAAATCCTTATATAAGTTATATGTACTCTTATTATCATAATATGTTGTTATATAGAGCTTCTCCTGTATAAAAATACGGTTTAAATCCCTGTTGATAATTCTCAAATATTATTTTTGCCATGAACAGTGATTAAAGCGTACTATGTAGTCATTTGATGAGAGGCGTAAAGACAAAACATAAGGTCGTGCATTAAGGTCGACTTATGATACATACATCGAATTAATTCTAATAAATACAATCTAAGTTTGGATGCGTCTTCTCGTCAAATCATTTGTGGTATACTAAGTCTTATCCAGGTTTACGATGGTTTCCATTGACTTGGTGAGTACCATCCTATTACAGAAGATGTAACAAATCTTCCTCCACACACTATGAATAAAATAAATTTCCTATATAAATAGCTTTATTCATCAAATTACATCAAGTTTTGATGGTATAAGATATTATTCATTCAATCAAAGGTCTTTTTTCCTTTGGAAACCATAAAAAAACAACCTTAATTATTATGATTATTCGCATTTCGAAAACAAGAAAAAAATGTTAACATGAATCGTATTGGTTCTCAACCTATGAAGAATCCATCTCAAATGATCATTTTGTAGCTAGAACTAACTTTATATAGTATATCAATACAAAAAACGCAAAAAATGCTTCAATAACAGTAAGTAGGTCTATCTAAAGTGTATTCAATATATAAAGGACAGGATGTTATTTTTTATATACAGACCACTTATGTATATAAAACACCAATTATGTACCACGGTCCTGTTTCACATCCTTACTAGTTACATATTTAACAACTAATTACTACACTATGTATACATATATCTATGTACATTAAGTCAGTAGTGGCCTAGTGGTTAAAAGGTCCATCTCTCACGCACGAGGGCGCGGGTTCGATCCTGGCAAGTACCAATGTGATTTTTCCGAGTTATATTAGAGTATTTAGATATCACTGATTAATGCATTCCCAAAGAGGGTTGATGTCAGGCAGGCGGCCGGTCGTAAAAACAATTAGCCAAAACTATTCACAACATGTAAGGCAGATCCTGGTTATAGCTGGGAAATTGGCAGGTAAAAGAAGAAGTATACGTATGTCTACATATAAAACTATTAATATGCATCATTCTTACATACTAATAAAAAGTTCTGACAACCAATAATTTAATATAATTGTACTGTTATATAAAATTTGAATCATTACTAAGCCTACGTTTGGTTCATGACTGTTATTTTCATTATATTCGTGGTATAACAATAGAGAAACATTTCAAAAGAGAAAGCATATTAAACGACGCTGGTTATTTTGAAACAGGTTGTTTAAGAGAAGTGCGAGGCGAAGGAAGTTTACTGAGACACGAAAGCTACGAGTCCTTTCAAATGACGGTCTATGTACTTATAAATAATAATTACATGATAAAGCTTAATGTAAAGATTCTTAATGAAAAAACACCTGTTTTTCATTAGTAAGGCAAAAAACTATATGGAATAGACTTTACCTATTTTAATATTTCCACGTCGATTTGTAATAGTTGTAAGACTTGTTTGTTTACTCATATACATATTTGGAAACTGTTCATTTAACAATCAACGCAGATAAAGTCGTAGTATTAGGTAGATGAGAAATAAAAGTACTTTTATAGTATCTAAAATATGATCAACATAATATCATATGTATAGAAACCGAAAATAATCTGAAAAAACTCTAGTTTTAATAGAAATTAACTAAATATAACGAACCTCTTACTGATACATTTCTTAAAGAATCCTTCATTTAAACTTACTTACTAAAATTTTTATTTGTATGTATAACACGAAATATATTATGATACCATATTACATATAGGTATATCTATATACGTATATAAATAGCATGAATCTCAGGGTCATATAACCTTCATATTCAGAGAGAGGCGGCTGTCTGAGCTGTCAACTAAAGAACAGTGTGGGCGAGTGTCTCATGAACGGGAGGTCGCCATGGGCTGACTGAAACCATACTCATAACTATCAGTCAATGCAATAGACAGAAAACACGTGAAATCATCAATAAAAAAAATGTATTTACAATAACAGGATTCGAATCTGCAACTAACGGAATGTAGTTTCAGTTACTTTTCCCACTAAGCTATCGTGTCCTGACTTATTTCGTACATCGATGTTCTTTCATATACATATTTCAAACTGATTTTTCGTTTCAATTCACATACAAGCACGTCACGCATCTTTAGCCAGATCATAAGAGGCTTGTGTTAGCACCATTTCCTATTAAAACGGTTCTGTAATATTATCTTTCTTGTAATATAAATGATAAACGTCATATTGAATTTCGCTATTTGTCGGCTGTTCGGAGATATGAGTTTCATGTTGTGTGTAGCGTGACCGGCTTTGATTGTGCTGAACGGCTGTATGCTGACAATCTGACTATTGATGAGTTATGAAATTGTGTGGGAACATACATACATACGTACACATGATTATAATAATTATAATTTATGTACATTTTCAATGCGACTGATCTGTGTTCAAGGTGATATTTCAATTCATAAATGGATAATTCTACGTTAAGAGGTCTTTTGATATTAGGCAGGGCGGCACGATAAAAATATTTAAAATTGATTTCTTTTCCTACATTATATTATGTAATCAGGTATTTTGTATACTGTAGATGAATGGCCAGTCAATTAATCTACTTTTATGAGTTTTTTAAGGGACCAGGGAAGATAATCTGTACAGGGTAGAGACATGAAGGCCAGGGCAGGATTTGCTTGGTGTAAACAATTCAAAATTAAATCAATTTTTCTGTGCTTTACACACAAGCAAGTGTTACGTTTGTCGTACCGTGACTGGACAACCCAAAACGGACGAAACTTGCAGAAAAGCGCATAGGAAATTTTAATGTCGTTTTTTTATGAAAAGCTTGTATAAGTTTATTAAAGTATCCAACATAACTCTCTTCTGTTTTCTTACCCCTTGTTTTGTTACAACGTCTTTTTTACCAGCACACACTCTACTATTTGAATCTTCTTCCATGAAAATTTCTGTAGTTTTTCTCAAAGTTATCGATTTTCTTGTGCTTCGTTTTACTTCTAAGTTAATTTAGTTTTTCTTTTCTTAATAGGTTTTAATATCTTGTCTCCTTCTAAAACTCCATATTTTGAAACCAGTTTTCCACTTATCATTCTCTGAAACAGTCTTTGCTGTTTTTGAGTCGTAAGATCCGAAAAATTATCTCTTAATTGTTGAGAAAGAACTTCTCCACATAATATTTTTTTCTTGACAGTATCTCTCGATTTTGGTGAATTAAGTAATGCGCTTACCCTTGTACCTGGACTTTTCTCTAGCTCCATATTATTTTGTCCTTTGGATCTCTGAAGCCTTTTTTTGTAACATTGTATTGTTGATTTAAGCTGAGCGATTTGAGCTACCTGTTTTTTTATTAATATATTTCTTGCTCGCCTTGCCTGGATCGATCTTCGTTGTCAGCTTGCGCTCGTTGATTAATATTTTCATTAGGAGGAACTTCGTCGTCTGAAGTAGGTAGGGTAGCAGGAGCATTTCCAATATGTTGAAGAGCTAAACGTCGTCTCCGCCGTTTTGCCTTTTCTCTCCATATCTTTCTGGCTTTTCGTTGTTCTCTGGGTGTCATTTGGTTTACAGTCTTAATAGTTCCCTTCTGTTTTTTTTTCCTTCTGTTGAGAATACCTTTCGGGATAATTTTTATGCCTTGGTATCTCAATCGTTCTGCCAGACGCTTCTTTTCAAGACGTTCCTCACGAGTTAGTTTCTTTCGAGGAGGCATGATCTAAAGAAATGAAAAAACTTATTCAAACATTTTAGAAATCAATTTAAATAATTGCTACGTAGTAGAAGACTAACGTAAAACCAAATTCATATACTAATAAAAATATATGAATACTAAGAAAGCAGTAATATCTCACTTCCTTATCTACCCTGGATGTAAAGTCTCTACCCTGGCATCTCATGAAGCAGGGGAAATACGGCAGGGAAGAGACGTTTTCATGAAAAAACGAAAATTAATCAGGATAAAATATGTTGTAACAAAAAAACAAATGAACACGGTAAACTAAGCTTAAATTAAAGTAAATAAATAATATAAATAGACTTGAAATGTAAATAAGAAATGAATAAAACTTACCAGTGGAGATACTGCAATCACTGACACGTCCGTGTAAGCCGAGTGGCGTGATCAAATTATCTGCCAATGAAAGCGCGTGCATGGCGTTCGCGGCGTTTATTACTAACTTAACTTTAAAACAAATGCTCTGCCTATTGAAATTTGAAGCGTCAACGTATTTTTGCGGCATTTATAACGGACGAAAAATAGGCAGGGGAGGAGACTTAATATATGAGGGACAAAAAGTGATATTTTTTTTTAAATAGAAAATTAAAGTAATTTGAGAGTTTTTTTACATATTCATTATTGTTAATTATACTGTTTTTTGTAATAAATAACGCTTAGATTTTAAATGAATTAGTAATATGTTAAATTTGGAAGAGTTTGTTACAGAATAGTAAAGAGACAGGCCAGGGTAGATACTTTTTTCTAGGTCAACATGAAATTATAGGTAAACTAAGTTAATTCAGATACTGTAATTCATTGGTAAAAAAGTATGCTTCATTTATTATTAAATATGACTGAGGATTTCCGCGAATTTTCAAATTATGTATGATTTTTTCATGTAGCCGTCGATAGTACCTCTTAACGTAGAACTATCCAAATACGTAATAAAAATAAAGATGTTTTTCATAATAATGAGGAATCGTTAAGTATTTTAGACAGGAAATAATTTCTAGTGGAGTGCACTCAAGTAGTCAGTCAGGTCTGGTGAGGTCATGTAAAAAATGTGAACCGTTCTACGTCATTCGTCTCACATTAAGAGCCGTCACACTTCGTTGAGACCTTCACAGCGAGGGAAAAACTGTCTCTAATGGAGGAACAAATTATATAGATTGAACTTAATGATGATGCAATTATACTATTAAATATCCTACTAATATTATAAGTGGGAGGGAACTCTGTCTGTCTGTCTGTCTGTTACGCTTTCACGCCTAAACCACTGAACTGATTTTAATGACTGATTTTAATGGTACAGACAGAGTTGACCTTGAGAAAGAACATATGATAGTTTTTATTCCAGACTTTTGAAAGGTTTTCTTGGACACGCGATATAACCGAACTCCACGCGGGCGAAGCTGCGGGCGGAAACCTAGTATATAATATAACTTCTTACTTCTAGTACAAACATAAAGACTTCAATTGCCTCTCACGATTAACACTCACTGACTTTAATATCCACTAATATTTTGAGTTGCAAATGTTTTTACCTTCTGAACTATATTTACCTACTACTATAGTATGTTAGGTTTTTTACTTAAAGCTTGATTAAAGCGAAATTTCTTGTCATATATACATATTTAACAAAATTCAAGATATTAGATTTCATTGGTAAACTTCTGCTTGGTCTATAGGTAAGTCATTAAGTAATATCTAGTACAATTTAATAGCTCATCTGACCCATTTAGCTAATAACATTTACAGTAGTTAGGTAATATTTTTCTTGTACCATCTCTAAAGTACTTCTCGCTGTCTGTTTCTTGTCTGTCTGTCCTAGATTTGTGTACATCGCTAATGCGTTGTTGGGTAACAGACATCCTGTCGTACACATTATTATACATGCAATTAAACACTTCATAGGAGTTAAGAGATTGCGTTTCATCTCGTGAGACGTATGATTAGTAAAACATTTCTCAAATCGATTTTCTTATCACGCGTTGTACAAACTGGTTACGATATCTGACCGGTACTTACGACCCAGATATTTCTTTCTTGAACTCTGATAAGAGATTGTTTAAAACACCTTATATGGATAGAATGTGGTATGTTTTGATAAAATATTTGAAAGGTGCGATATTCTTTTTTTTACGCTAAAGGGGGCAACCGAGAACACGGCCTACCTGATATTCACAACATTTCTTATGTAGGAAAGAGGGATAGGAAAAAGTGGGAAAGGGAAGGGGTAGGAAAGGATGGGAAAAGGGAAAGGCCAACTGGCCCTCTCACTCGTCGGACGAAACGCAGTCATTAAAGACTACTTCACGTCGATCTTCTGTGAGAGAGTGGTACTTCCCCGATCAAGCCAGCCCATGTTCGAGCTGCAGTAACTTGACCACAGCTAGACTCTACCACCATACAAAACCTTCAGTATTCGTTAAACCTCCAGTTATATACCAAATCTCACTCTCTCTTTCTCTTTCTTTCTCTCTCTATATATATGAGACACATATATCATACAAATTCTGTAGGTCATGCTCCATAAAAATATAAGAATATTTATTTAAAAGACAATATTCTAACGTTAAACTGTAGCGTTATTTCAGTTAGAAAATGTTTTCCTAATTTCCGTGTTCATTCAAAGTTTTAACTATGATTTGTTCTCGTTATCGGCATTGTTAGAGTATAGTATGTAGTATGTGTTGTGGGCCAAGTTATTAATAGTAATAACAGGCAGCAGTGGCGGCTGGTGGGTTATTGAACTGGTGGTTCACTTTACTAAAATATTGACAAAAACAACAATTGACATAAAATATGTTTATTTTTTGTACATTAATTCATAACTATATCCAACTCTGATACAAAGTCTATTAATCCACGAAACACTCCAGCATTACTGGACTCAATAGTTTCATCGTGACCTCGCAAAGCTAACTCAAATGCACCACAAAACTTGACACAATCGATAAGACGTGATAAAATGTATCTGTTTTTATCAACTTGTTTATTATACTTTTGGATATTACTTCTATACACAGAATCTAGCTAATTGCGAATATCGACTGTGCCTAACACAGACAAACTCATTACATTTTGTAGGTGTATTTGTGAAGAATCGTGTTTTTTTATTTTTTCACTTAAATGCGTCAAATCCTTGATTCCAGTTTCTGTCCAAATCGATTCTTCGCCAAAAATAATGCAAGGAAAACAAAAGAATGCATTAAGACGCTCACATCCACACAACCATTTCTTTCTATTATACATTTCATTTTTAAAACTTCGTATAAATGCTTTATTTTTCGATTTACACTCTTGTTTTAAATTTAAAAAGGGCCGTGGCTGCCCGGCCAATTTTATGTTCACTTTACTTTGAAAAATTTTGTTATTTTCTTTAATATAATCAATATTTATACTCATTTTCAACTAATAAAAAACACAGTACAGAATAAAAGTTCTATTATAGAAACGAAATAAAAACTACAACGAATTACGGAAATAATTATAAACAATAACAAATTAACGCGTCACGCATACAGTGAAACTTGAAACAATACCAATAACGATTAACGAAATGTCAATCATAGCACCCATCCTTTCGGCCGGCCCCTTGCCGGCCGGCTCAATACGTCATACATCGGGTGCTCTCGGTAACCTTCGGCCGCTTCGTGCGGCGCGCGAGAACCGACTCATTACTCGGTACATTTCTATGAACTATCTTTTGTCTCACGCGCCAGGCGTATTGATGCGTGTCTCATACAAGATGTATTAGCAGTCCTCGTGCACTCGCCGGAGCGCACGATATGAGTTTAGTAAAGCGCTCAAACTTTTTGACCATAATTGGAAATTAAATTTTTTATACCTTTTTGTATGTTTCAAAAATAAATATTAAAATGGTAATTTAAAAATTAAGATGACATAATATTTTGTAATTTTTAAATATTTTGAATTGGTGGTTCAGCGCACGGGCGCACTTAAGGTACAGCCGCCACTGACAGGCAGTATTCATAATGCCCGGGCAATGTAGTAATCTGATTGGTTATAATCACATCGCCCGCTCTTATTGGTCATTATGGATAGTGCCAGATTAATCACTTATACTATAACATATGTGAGAGATTTTTCCTTATTAAAACCTATGAATTTTTTGTCGCTGGATTACAAATATAATATTAAAGTACGTTGCTTAAGTGCAACTTATACAAAAGGCCAAGCGAGGTAAATGATTGTAATAGATGTGTTTTCCTAATTTGTTTTTTATAACTATAAACTAATGCTGTAAGTATCTTATAAATCTTGTAAATATTCTAAAACCGCTATAAGCTGATCTCTCTTCACTTGCACCACAGTATCAGATCGTAGTTCATCCGTTAAGTAGTTTTTTGTTTTTTTTAACATTGCAGTCAAGGTTGCGCTGTTTGTATGCAAATTCAATTGTTTTTCTTTCTAAAGCTTCTTTATTCAGTACAGTTTAATGATAGTTTTGTTAAATACAGTTAGTGTTCTCAATTCCAAGCGTTTTCACATTATTAATTTCTAAGATCTATTTTTTAAGGTGGTCTAGTGGTTAACAGGCCCGCCTCTCGTGCATGAGGGCGCGGGTTCGATCCTGGCATGTACCAATGTGATTTTTCCGAGTCGTATGTACTTTCTAAGAGTATTTAGACATCACTGATTAATGCATTCCCAAAGAGGGTTGATGTCAGACAGGCGACCGGTCGTAAAAACAATTAGCCAAAACTATTCACAACATGTAAGGCAGACCCTGGCTAAAGCTGGGAAATTGCCAAGTAAAGAAGTAACTATATGAGATATTATTTATAAAACTCCTACAGCAACTAACTAAACTAAATTTTAAGTTACTTGCTGTAGCTTTCCACAAAGCCGTTCCGATTTCTTAGAGCAAAATGTCACCCACTCAGTAAACAAGTAATTTTCATAACATGCTAATTACTCAACCTGTTGAGTAAAAAGTAACTTACACCTGCTATATAGTAACAAATATTGTGAAAGTGGATCATATTACTTACTATACTTACATGGATCAGGAATATATAACATTACTTATAAAATAAACTACTTTGTTTCGTACCAGTTATAGTAATTATTCTTTACCTTACTAATTGTTTCATCAAACGTAGATCTTCTAGTATGTTACTCATAAATCTTCGTTCATAATAGTATTAGCGTCGGGTACTTTAAAAACTAACGCTTCATATGAAGTGTGACGATGTCAACTTGTACTAAGCGCACTGATAACAGGATCTTAATGATACATATAGGCCCTTTCTATAGTAAGTTTAGCATATTAGGGCTTTACTTATGAAAAAAACTGTAGTTTTAAGAGTAATCTTGTCGTACGTCATAGCAATTAATATTCGACTCTTACTAATAACATATTGGTTAGTATTAGTACCTAATGTCGTATAATCGCTTCGGGCCACGGACGGTACTCAATAGATCGTTTACAACTGGACCGTAATTACAGTTCGAAGGTAATTTTTAATAGCTTGCATTTCCTCAATAAATACGACATCATTTATGCTTCTAACTTGCCGCTCGTCACCACTGGGAGACTTGTTTACAAACATACACACACACACACACACACACATATATATATAATTTTCAGGCTTAAATGACTAATTAATATCCTCTTATTATAAATCTCTCTCCTAGGCGAATAAAGCTCTATGTTTGAAAATTTTATCCATCATTTAACAATTTCATCTTAAAATTTTCAACTTGTAATAATCATATAATTTTTTTCTATATTATTATTCACTGTAGGTAAAATCATTTGCTTAGTAAACAATCTACATATACTTATGTATTATGATGTGTTTACTCGTTTCCTGGAAGTTGTGCCAAGTTTAAGGTGTCACTAAACCAAACACAAGATAACTTACAAACAAAGGCATAAACGACCACACACACACACCCACTCACACACACACACACCCCATCATATCATGGGAACGTAATAACCTAAGGTGTATTGCCATCGTTACATCACCTCACCGTTATCATTACACTCCATAACCTATTACTAACCTACTACATATCTTCTTCCTGGCAACCTCCCAGCTTTAGCCAGGGTCTGACACTAACCTACTACATATATATATAATATATATATATATATTAAATTCACCACAAACAAAATAGAAACCATTCGTCCGGACTTACGACATTTAAATTCGTTAATAATAAGTATATTAATAATTAATATCTCGTTATCACATAAATTAATATATTTATAATAGTACAATAAATCATTCATTTCAAGTATACAATATATAATCCGATGTTATTTTTATATGTAATTTGTTGCGAAATTAACAGGCGCCAGTCGGTGTTGACGACCGCGTTAATACAATCATAGTCATCACTAATAAACTATTTAAATATCCCTACTAATATTATAAATGCGAAAGTAAGTCTGTCTGTCTGTCTGTCTGTTACGCTTTCACGCCTAAACCACTGAACTGATTTTAATGAAATTTGGTACAGACATAGAGTTGACCTTGAGAAAGAACATAGGATAGTTTTTATCCCAGACTTTTGAAAGGTTCTCTTGGAAACGTGATATAACCGAACTCCTCGCGGGCGAAGCTGCGGGCGGAAAGCTAGTATATAATATATTTAAATTGAATTTTCTTTTATAAACTTTATAATAATATGAAAAATTTCTTTAAAATCACTCTACCCCAAGTGTGTTCAACGTATGTAGATTAGTATATAAAGTAAAAATTTATATCTATATTAAAAATATATAAAAGAAAATCGTATTAGTTACACTATTTATAACTCAAGAATGGCTTTACGGGTTTGGCTGGAAATTTTTAGAGAGATAGGTTGGAAATAGGAGACGGATATACGGTAATAATAATTTAAAAAAAATTGCTATTAAAATCCAAAATCTTTTTATTTTCTGCCACACAATCGAAACAGTTCGCCTGCTCAGCTATACATTTCTAAATATGAATCTAATGAAACAAAGTCGCGGTCAAAAGCTAGTGTAGTGCTAGTATTACCTGGCACGTATAACTGGATTAGTTTTTTCATCTAAACACATCTATATATGAATGTATGTACAATGTAACTTGTCAACTGCTGACTGTTATTTCATACACAGCCAGTTTGTACCGCAGAGCCGAGGAGTGCGGACGTACCCAGACGAACACAATATGTTCACTCAATATAAGTAATTCAGTGTTATTGTAAACTTGAGTCGACGTGTGTTATGACGTAGGACAGCTAGTTTGTTCAGTGAAATTACTACACGATGTAGTGCAGATTACATTTCATTCTGCGGTTGTGGTTCATTTCGAAAGGTATGCTTTTTAATATTAAGAATAACATGATTGCGGCTGACAAAAAGTTGGTAGAGAGTAAAGGTCGCGTGGTTCATAGAGACGAGAAGATTTTATTAAAGATTCATACCTTATTTTACGTGTTTAAAAGAAAGAAAAAATACAGTAACTTTATTATTACGTATGATAATTAGTTGTTTTCATGTTTATAGATCGGGCCAATGTCACAATGCAGGCCGTTAAGGACGCCGGTCGACAGAAGAGGAATCTGAAACGAAGGAGCTCCAGGAAGAAGTCACTATCACCATCAGACCTACGACGTGTACGCGGGGATGTGAAAAACGAAAAAATGACCAGCAAACGATCGCTTTCTGAGGGGTCTTTGAAAATTAGACACAAGAAACCAGTACAGGCATATCCAATAAATGGTAGTGATATTGAAGTACCACTAGATGGAACTGTTGACTCCAAAGGTGCTCCCGAAAGCGACGAATCTAATATACCACCGACCAGTTCTGATAGGGACACAGAAGAAGACGTTAAAACTCCAAGAACTATCCCTCATTATTCTCGCTTCGACTCCGCTAGTGATATGGATTCCCTCGTCTCCATTGCCGTCAAGAAGGCTGCCCGCAGACGAAAAAACTCCTCCAACCTCGGTGAGTTTGCCTATAAATATGTACACAACGTTTACCCGCTGAGAATTGATACAATACAATACAAACTTATTTACCTTTATATATACATATATATTTAATTCTATTACACACTAGATTTGGCCGTGAAATCTTTAATTCATTTTATATTTTATTAAAAATTAATTAAAAAATTTTAAAGTAAATTTGACTTATTGCATCTTTGAACTTCATCTATCTGTCAGTTGAAGTAACAACAAAATTTCTCCAGCAGATTCGAAGATAGGCCATATCAAACACAAAGAATAATCATAAAAAATTGTACATATATTATTACATATATAATATTTTATTTTAAACGAGATGTAGTATGTTTTATTCTCATGTACCGATCCCCGCTTCACAACCGGTTGTGTTCTCAGTAACAGGAATTAATTTGGGTTTTAGTGTCTTGCTTGTATTTAATTTATTTTAATTCACAGTGTTTTATGATCATCATTATAAAATACCGTATTTTATTATCTTGTTTTGTGACTACACATCTTTTAAAGTAACGAGTGAACCGTGGAAACAGAGCCTTGTATATATTATCAGATAAGATTATCGCGTACTCCACACTCCATAATATTTGCTAGTTTGTTCTTAACTAACAAATATTTTATGATAATTATAACTCTACGTCATACTATTTTAAACGACCAATTTAAAATGCTCGTATTTTCTAAACCACTCATAAGCCGTAACGACCTATTTAATTTGTGTGTATTATATTTAAAACCTTACTTAATAAATGCCAGCTAAAAATATCTGCATAAATGTCACAATATAACATTATTCGCTTGTACAATTACATAATTTCAATATTTATTTTTTTCAAACTTGTCATTTAAAATCACTGACGTCATTCATTGTAAAACTAGATGGCCATTTTGTTTTTTTTTTTCTGTAAAAACCTTGTTGTTTTTATTAAAAAATATATAATTTTGTATTTTCGTTGAGGTGTATTTTTGTCGGTTTTACAAAGGATTTCGTGCGTCGTATTATTAGAGTGCTTCAATAATACCCCTCAGTTATATGTATATGTATAATAATATTTTTATCTAATCAACATATAAAATGCATTCCTAACCTTGACGCTAGTGTATAAGGAATGAATTTAGTTTTAATATATTTGAATCATTCACTAATATAAACAAAATCTACTTCAATGTTACATCTTCAACACTCAAATGTTTTTATTCTTCGATAAATATTTTAACATTTTTTTGAATAAAATTGAGCTCTCTATGTATTATATTCACGATTCATTATACACTGATTTATAAATTTATTATTGAAACTGCCACTAGCGGCGTCCAGAATTGTTATAATTGATTTTTATTTTATTTGTAATAAAAAACATAATTAGAATAATGCTGTTTGTTAATAATAGTTCGTTCTAATTTTAAATGTGTAGCATCTAATGCACGCCATCTATATATCTTAGGAAGAAGTTCTATGTTACAATGCACTCCGCTTCGTGCGGAATACGTGCGCTAGATGACGCTGCATTAAATCATCTATTTATATACAATTTTCTTTAACAATAACTTGTTCTTGAAATTTTATTTTATAAACTTTTTATTTTATAATATTATTACTAAACCACTGAACTGTTTTATTAGTTACCTCTAATTTTTATTTTCATACAAATTCATTCAAATCAGAACTAAAAATCGCTCAATAAAATATCTTTAATGCAATATTTATATATGTATTTATAAAACAATTTCTGTTTTATAAGGGATTTTTTTAAGAAAATAAATACGTAATACTCTATAACCAAAGAAAATATTAAAAATTCATTCCTTTACAATTCTTAATTCCATCTTTTATTTTGTTTCTACATTGTTATCATTACTTTTACACAAACAATTAAACTTCAAAAATGTTTCTTTTCTTTAACTAGACCAGACCACAGATTTCACAGACAAAAGTATAACAAAATAAAACTAAAGAAAATCAATATGTTTTTTACATATTTTTGTTTGTTTACGTATATTTCAAGTGAAGTCTCGTATCATAAATTGAATACTACATATAATTGTATACCAAACATGTTTCCCATACATTGTGAATGCCATAACTTGGAGTCACTTGAGTAATAATTCTCCTTATAATACACATCCTTGTTGTATTTTTCTCATAGTTTTCGCGTTGACTAATTTCAAACATTATCCCACTAGTTATATCACCCTGCTTTCCTTTACCCACTAACTATTAATATGAAAGATAATTTCATATTAATGGGACCTAGTTATGTCACCAAGCTATTGTTATGTATAATTAGTATTGTGTTAGTAATTAATAAATACATAAATATTCATTAATTGGATAAACACTTTATTTTTGATCTGATTCTTAAGATCCAAATCAAAAGGTATAGTTCTGCCATCTAGTTCCACTTAATGACATATTTGCGAGCATCCAAGTGCTTTGGTTCTAATCAGTGGCGGCTGTACCTTAAGTGCACTCGTGCGCTGAACCACCAATTCAAAAGATTAAAAATTACAAAATATTACTTCATCTTTATTTTTAAATTACCATTTTAATATTTATTTCCTAAACATAGAAAAACGTATAAAAAATTAAATTTCTAATTATAGTCAAAAAGTTTGAGCGCTTTAATACATTAATATCTCGTGCGCTTCGGCGAGTGCACGAGGACTGCTAATACATTTTGTATGAGATACGCATTAATACGCCTGACGCGTGAAACAAAAGATAGTTCATAGAAATGTACCGAGTAATGAGTCGGTTCTCGAGCGCCGCACGAACGGCCGAAGATTACCGAGAGTACCCGATGTATGACGAATTGGAATTGAAAAGAATTAAAACTTTTCTCCGAAATACCATGCACTTGCAAAATGCACTTTCTGTGCTTAGTATTGAAAAAAATAATTATACAAACAATATCCGATTTTAATAAAAATTTGATTGAATATTTCGCTTCAGAAAAATGTCGTCGCATTGATTTAATGTATAATAAATATACATAGTTTATGTCAATTGGTTTTTTGTTACATTTTCTAATTTAATATTTTACTAAAGTGCACCACCAGTTCGATAACCCACCAGCCGCCACTGGTTCTAATATAATACATCGTCAGGATATCAGAACCCACTGCTGAGCAAAGACCTCTTCTAACATGGAGAAGATTTGAGTATTAACCACCACGCTTGCTCAAGAATTTCAAACTTATAATTGTGAAATAATAAAATTAATTAATTAATTTACTTATAAGTCCAGGTTTCCTCACGATGTTTTCTTTTATCTGTCACTGGTATCTAAATACTCTTAGACTTCGAAATATCACATTGGTTGCTAGGTTTCGGTTATTAAACATTTATTAGCTTTAAATATTATTTATATCGTCTAAACAGTACGTATATTTTTCTTACAACAAGTTTTCGACTTTTCATCGTCACTCTAAATACAAATTTCTTCTAGTCTTCCATTAACAAACCTTTACATATGTAGTAGTTATATAATAATAAACTGTAAACTGTCAGTATTGAGTGTGTCACTCATAGTAAGGTCGCAGGTGATACTTGTCTGTCTGTGTACGGAGAGGAAGTGTGTATCCTGTAGGCTGTGTGGGATGAAGAGAGTGGGACACGACGTGATTTACAATTAATATAAATACACACACACACATACACCCACACACACACACACACACACATTCATACATACGCATATATATGGTATATTAAATAATATGTAGTTAAAATGTCTAATCGTAAGGTAATATTTTTTTATCATCGTCACGGTCACTTAAATATAGTTACGTAAACCAACAAGAAATAAACATAAGAAATAAAACATTTTTTCTTTGATTTTATATATCTTTTTATATATGATAATGTCATATATACATATATGTATCTAATATTGTATATGTTACGTCAGTGTGATCGTTGATGTCTTTTATACAGATACCGTTAATGCTAACATATACTCCTTATTCAATAATATTTTTCCCTTAAATATTACAATATAGAATAAACACTAAGTATACAGGGTGACTGGTGAATTACTATCAATATTTAAGGAGAATACTCGGTACATGATTCTCATTCGAATTATGTAAAAAAAATAGGCACTTAATTTTTGACAAAATTTCCGTATAAATAAATAAAGTGTTGACACGTTCCAAGTGTTAAAGTGTGGACGCGTGCGGCGACGTGCTGATACAACACTACGTCACGACACGCGTATGTGTGAGTGTGAGTGTATACCTAATCTGTAGAGTGCTCACACGATGCGTAATTAATTACATAACTTTTGGTTAACTTTACTTAGTAGTTTATTAATATTTATGTTATATTAATTTTTATTTTGTCATATATGATCGTCAAATATCACGTCCTCAAGTATCGATAGTAATTCACCAGTCACCCTGTATAAATTTTAATTTCATATATTTCAAGTCGATAGAACCTTATCTAATTAAGTTTGAACATTTCTCATACACTTTATTTGCTAATCCCATAAAGCGATAAGGTTCCATCTATTTCAGTACAATATTCATATTATATGTACGAAGTTGACTTTCATTTAATGTAACATTTAGTTGGGTTACAGTTGTGTGTAGGCGTGTATATGTATACACACACACACACACAATCAAGCCTCCATAGTAAAGATTTAGTCCGTCTGTACAAGTTCATTGTTCCCCACATCTTCGTTTCTAAAACGCCTCAAGTATAATTCGTGTATATTTTTTACAGAGCCTTCGTCAGAGGCTAATAGTTTTTTGTGTCGCTTACGACGTTTTAATATTCGACGTTCCGTTGTTTGTGGAGACTGACTCATTGTGTAGTGAGGGGAAAACATCGATATATTTATCGATATGTTTATGTACGAGAAAATTATATTAAAAATATATCTCATAGAAATTTTCCAATTATAAGTTTGAAGTCAGTGGTGGCCTAGTGGTTAAAGGACCCGCCTCTCGTTGCCGAGGGCGCGGGTTCAAACCTGGCAAGTACCAATGTGATTTTTCGAAGTCATATGTACTTCTGAGAGTATTTAGACACCACTGACAGTTGAAGGAAAACATCGTGAGGAAACCTGGACTTATAGTTTCAAAATTATAAGTTTGAAATCACCAACCCGTTTCGAGCAAGCGTGGTGATTAATGCTCAAATCTTCTCCATGTGAGAAGAGGCCTTTGCTCAGCAGTGGGCTCTGATAGGCTGATGATGATGACCAATCAAGTTAGTGTCATATTAAATATTAAACTGCTAGTACATTATATAAATGGTTGAATGTAATTAATTTGACCTTTCATACATTTCCTTTCATCATGCTGTGTTGTTGTTCATTCACTGAGAAGCCTTATGATGTTCATTGTATTATTTCACATCATACAAGTTTACATCACACTAAAAATGATTAGTGTTTACTACTAATTTTTACTATTTTCACTCATAAATCTTAATACGTATCTATTACCATACATATACATATATTAAAGGTTTGCATTTGGTATGTCAAAGAAATTAGTGTTAATAGTACAGAAATTACCTTAATATCGATTAACAAGTAGTCTTAATGATCAGGGTTGCTGAAAAGTAGTTTATAAATCGGGAGTATATAATTTTTTACCAAAATAAACCATATAGTATATGCAAATGATAATAGTTTCATTTAAATATCGATAGTATTAGTCATGGCTATGTAGTTTTTTAGAAAAATAAAGCGCGTGTCGTATATCTGAAACTATCGATAGTATAAGTTCCATCACTGGGGGCACAGTCGGCCGCGTCCCTCTCTCGGCTCACAGTCCTGCGCACGCGCAACACAACCTGACCGGTTGTGAGCTATAAAGACTATTATAACTGAGTTTAAGTGATATAAACTGTGACATACACACATACTTGAAGCCTCTGTGAGTATCGTATATCTAGTAATTGGATAAGTGAATTTTAAAGTAATGTCAGCAGCTTGCTACTAGCTTAGAAAGAAGCCTTAGCAAGGCTCGCTCTACTTCACGTTTCCGGGATACGAATCAACGTGAAGGCTTAATACATTACTTTGTCTCTATTCGTCTCAACTTTGAGCTACTATATATCCAAAATTTTACGTTATGTATACAAAAATAACTATATTTCAGGCGAGTATAGTATATATATATATTTTTCATATAATAAAAATCTATTTGAAGTAATTTAGAAATTTGTAATGGATCTACGATCTTAATCAATTCGGCACGGACTCTCAAAAATATAAGTCTCACGGATTCCTCGCTAGGATACAAAGAGATTGCTCTTACGAGTTAAAAGACTCTTTGGGGTAATTAATTTAAGCCCTATATTAAATTATTAGTAGACTTGTATTAAATCTGATTGGTAATGATTATTATCTAAACATGCATGTGGTTAATTAGTAATAAGACGTTGGAAACTGATCGTCGAGAACAATTAGAGCGTTCATAACTACTGATAGAAGAAAGTCTTCATTAATTATATTTATATTTACTAAGTTATAATCGTATTAATTTTAGCAAAAAACTTTGAATACGAAGTTAATAGATGAATGGTTTTCATAGAATTCTCTGAACGAATTATACTTATTGTCTTTCATAATAATTTAGTTCAAAGATAAGACTTATAATTTGATATTATTATTAAAAAAAGGTTTTAAATTCGGTGTAATTTTTATGTAGGTGATTCAACATGTATCTTTTCTTTGTACCTTTTATGATTCTGAGAATAATAATTTAATGTTTGACCTTAAGTTTCGTCAAATTAGTTTTTGTTTCATGATATTAAAAATAAATAATTATGATTCTCATTTTTCCTTCAACTCGTTTTCTTTTTACTAACGTTTTGTTTTATACAGGAATTCCCAAATTTAGTTTGACTGGCCATTCTGAGAATACATTTTTTTTAGCCTCCCCATTTTGTCACGTACGTACTTTTCTCATTATTCCATCTAAATGAAATTATAAATCAACCCCATACATCTACTCAATGCTCTCAATTTTTTCTGTGTCTCTTACTTGCACCGTTAACCCTGCAGCGCCCACTATAAGGCCTTATCGCCCACTTTTTGTCACTCTGGTTTAAAAACATAACTACATATATTCAAAGACATGATTGATATCCAAGACATGATTTATAACAAACTTATTTTACATACATTGTACCCGATCAATGTCTATCAATAAAGCGAGAGATTTTCAATCAACTGTATAGTTTTTACTCTTAAATATTACACTGTTTTGAAGCATAGAAAAAAAAAATATTAATTTGAAAAATTTTGCTCACATAATTCGCAGAAAAAATACCTTCTTTTTTCTATAATGATTATTATTCTAATGTATTAGTTATTTGTAATTGAAAGTAGTTTTTACTAATCCTATTACTTGTGTGGTACCAGCTCGCCGTCTGCCCCAAGGTTCTATCAGCCCACGCCAACCTTGGACGAGCTCCAACGTCCGAACTTTAGTTACACACTTATAATGCTAACAAAACTATCAATTTTATAACTGCTATTAAACTTTCTTTTAAAATCATACAATAAATGAATCTTTGCATAATTTACGTAACACTATTTATTTGTACACGTGTACAAATAGTAATTGTTATTTGTACATGTGTACAAATAATAATAAGCATTTGTACAAAACTGTAATTTATAAACTCAAATGAATATTGTACAATTTGAAATGAACCGTTACATATTTTTCTAAACTTATTATATGTTATTATATATTATATGTTGTGTACATAATGTATTCAAAGCATGTGTATTGTTATGTTTCATTGACGTCATGAGTCTCCTTACTTGATAACTCTATTCACATCCACTAATACTGCGTAATAATGTTAACCTTTTAAATTGAATTCTTGTGGTTAAATTAACGTAATGTATCAAAGGTTCTTATATATATGATTACATTAATAAATTATTTAGTACGTAATGATGTTCTTCAGATATTAATTAATGCGTACCTTTTCTTTAATGACCCATTCATATCTACGTTTATTGTTAACCATTAACTTATTCAAATTACATTATGACGTTATATCTAATTCATTAACAGGCAAAGAAATTATAAATCTGTTTTATTGAGGATGATTAGTAATTATGCAATGATTAAAAATGTTAATTGATTACTTCTTTGTCAGATTTTAAGTGGACTTTTAACTAGTCAGACTATGTGAAAACAGTGACGTTGATAAAAATAAAAAAATAGGTGTACCAAGGTGCCGTAGATTCAGTAAAAAACTAGTACTTTCTTAGTATTTGTTTGTTTTATATATACATATTATATTCATGTTTGATATCTTTTTATCTCTCAACTCGCTTTCTTAGTGCCATCCACTGCATCGTTGACTATGAAAGCATGCCGTGACGATTATTTGAGAGTCGTTTAATCTTATCATAATGTAATAGGTCTTAGAAAACTGTTTTATAACAATTAACATGTTACTTTCAGAATGTTCTTTTAAGCGTAGTGCTATAAAAATAAGCGCCTTACGTTATATTATAGCAATTTTGTATTTTTACGTTTTTCATTTAATTTGTTATGATTGTTGTTTTTATGAGTGTTAGTAATTTATTTTCCATATTAAAGCCATGTTTTCCGTTTCCAGCGTCGTGTATCAGTGGCGAGTGTGAAGTCCTGGACGGTGAGGCCGGTCGCATGCGTCCCGAGGACTACCGGCTGGTGTTCCTCAGCTCGGACTCGTCTGGTCGGGACGACACCGAGGACTCAGCGTCGACCGCCTCCTCCGCCGCCCCGCACCCGACTGACGACTGTGACTGGGATTACTTCGAGCCGGGCGCCCCCCCTCCCCCCACCACACAGCACCACCCGCCCGCCTGCTCGTGCGGCGCCGAGCCTCGTCTAGTCCCAGTCCCTGTCCCGGTGCCGGTCCCGGTGCCGGCGTCCCTGTGGCCCGCTCTGCTCGCCTTCCCCCCTCCCCCCACCCCGCCCTGGAGCACGTACCCCGGCTTCCCCATCGATGCGGCGACCCTCGCTCGCATCACGACCGCCGCGGTGGTCACCGCCGCCGCCAGCGCGCGGAACAAACTAGAAATGACCGTCGATAGGACGGATAAGGCGATACAGGCCTCCGATAAGGATAACGATGATAAGTGTACCGAGCGGGCAGTCGGGCCCGAGCCGGCGGACGAGATTAAGGTGATCGCCGAGGAGCCGTCCGCGATGTGCGAACAGATGCCGGAGCATCTATTGTCGGAGAACGCCTTCCTCTCCTCCGACGAGTCCAACTCGAGCGACTCGGAGGCGGGCACGGAGCGCCGCAGCTACGAGCTGCACAGCGGCGCGCCCGACGAGCCCGCCACCAGCGACGAGGACTCCGACGACTCCGGCGGAGGAGGACAGTTCTCACGGGTGTTCGTGGTCAACCCCGCGGACTCCTCCTCCGACCAGGACGACAGCAGCGGGATCGACTGCGACGACTTCGACAAGAACGTGCCCGAGGAGCTCGCGGCGGAACGAGACGACGAGCAACGAGGGGATAATCAACACTCGCGCGATAATGATGACGTCGTTGTGTTGGAAGTCGTGAACTACAATGAGAAATATCCTATGATCTCCTTATGCGATAATAGTGACGATGGTGGTGAAAGTGTTGATAAAAATGACAGTAATATGACGTTCTGTGACGACAACATGCTGCAGAGTGAAATTAGTGACAAGTTCAATAGCTTTAATACGGTCAGTGATGAACACGAAAATAGTTTCAATAATCGAAGTAGTGGCGTGTCCGATAACATTGAGTGCGACTCCTTGGACAACTCCTTCAGTTCAGATTATAATATTAAAGTGTCCGTGTCCGTCGAGACCGAGAAGCCTTACGACGACCAGAGTTCAAACATTAACCAAACACAATCCGTGGAACTCAGAAAACTATCACCTTCACCCGAACTCGGAAAAGAGGAAACTAGTTTACGAACATTAACGTCAGCTACCGGAGATAAAATAGACCTGTTCAAAGGTATCGAACGCACGCTCAGCGAGTTGTTGAAGAAAGAATTGATGGGAGACCAAGGGGAGGAGAAAACGCAGGGGGACGGCGGCGCGGGGGGGAGCGCCGGCGCACCTGACGCTCACACAGTCAGCCGCCCGCCGTCGACCGACGCGGACCTCGCGCCGTTCACGAGCCGCGTTATGATAACGCACGACCGCGTCTCCGTCGTCACGTCCGACACGACGCGGCTCATGCGTGACATTATAGTGCACCACACGAACTCACAGAGCGAGCCGCACACGAGCGGCGCCGAGCGGGCCGGCGAGCCGCAGCAACCTTCGGCCGGAGTGACTGTCGTTAGCAACGCGGACACTCTCTCGGCGGTCGTGTGTCTCGAGGAGGGGCTCGCGGACGACGACTCGTGGGTCGAGGACGTCAGCCACGATGATGACACATCACCCTCTGACTCCGAGTCGGGGGATGAAGCGACCCTCCCCACTCGAGCCGACTTCGCCTATTGCCGCCGCTCCTTGGATTTCACCCTACATACGATCGTGGAAGAGAGTTGTGAAGAAAGCGAGACGGAGCAAACCGTTAAAAAGGCTCGACCTATATCGGCTACCGAATTGGAGAAGTACTTTTTCTTCGGCTTAGGAGACGGAACGACCGCTCGCGAGGATGAGGAACAAGTGTCCGACACGTCGAGTGTGTGTAGTGAAGGTGGTGAGTCCATCGTGGATATGGAACAACAGACCAGTAGGAAGAGTGGTGATAGTGATGAGCTCGTGTCGTCTCGGTTAGAGAAATACTTTCTCTCCGGCTTTATGGGTTTCAATCAAGAGAGACGGGATTCCGATGGGTCGGGGAGCGTCGGCAGTGACAGTGAGGGGAAACAGAGTCCCGAACAGAGGCGGAAGAGATTGGTTCGGGCTCGGGGCGCGCCCAGGTCACATTCATCATCGTTAGACAACCTACTGGCGGGCGATGAACCCTCTCAAGACACGCAGGAGATATCGGACGGATCGAGCACCGAGACCGAGGACCGGCACGAGTCACTCGAGAGGCTCGACATGACCGGTGAAGTTAAGAGGAAGAAACAAAGCAAGAAGTCGCGCGGCTCACCCGCTGATGAAAGACGACAATCCGTGGAGTTCCCTGAAGAAACAAGGGATGACACGAGATCCGTGTCCGAAGGTGAAGACGGCCGACTGACACCCAGAGTAGAGTTCCCACCTCTAGGCTCCGAACTATCGGAATCTAAGAAACAGACGAGTAGAGATAGCGGGTTCGTCGGGAGTTGTGATGATTTGTTAAAGAACGGCGACAACGGTGACTTCACCAGGTCTCATGAACCTAAAACAGAGTTAGAGGAAATTATTGAGGAAGCTCGACCGGAGCTGGATGAGAGGATCGACCGTCCGCCGTCCTCACGACCACCGCCGAGCACACTCACGAGGAAAGATAGCTTTAACAACTGGTCCTCAGACGAGGAAACTAATCTCATGATGACGAAAATGAGACAATTCTTTAAACAAATGATAAACACGACCAACGTGAGGGCATCGACCCCGGCCTCATCCAACTCTGAAAGCTCACGCCCACCGAAACCACCACAACTACTGTACTTCGAGAGCGAGTTGACGAGGTTGATGAAAACTGTACCGGGAATACGGGACGAGGAGGTCAGGGAGATCGTCGAATACTTATCGAGCGAGGACACGTGGAGCGACTCGTACGACTCGTCGGACTACGCGGGCTCCGATCTGGAAGGAACATCCGCCAACAGATCCGCGTTAAGGAAACAGATATCAGATAGCTGTCGAGAGATAATAGACGAGTTCGATCGAGGAAACAGTGAGGCGGGGTCTTTGGAACGAGATGCTGTTGGCGCGTATCAGAGATTGGCTGCAACGCTGGGTCGTGCTGGGGACGGATCTCCGCCTCTGTTCGGAAAAGTGATGAGACATATAGGAGGGAGACTCGTGGCCTTGATGCACGAGGTGTCAGCAGGCGCGCCGCCTAGTACTGATGAAGACAGCGCCTCTGAGCCCGGAGCATTAGCCAGGAGTCGCTCACACGATATACTAGAAGCGGCGGCGAGTCGAGGCAGTGTAGCTAGTGATAGTGAAAGATTTTCGTGGAGAGGAAGCTTTGAATCTGCTCTATTAGCAGCGGACTCCAGGGGTACATTGGGGGGCGAAGCCCGACGCTCGCCGGCGGGGGCTGAGCTGGCGGCTCAGAAGTCTCATTCACGAAGCTGCGGCGCCATCAGCGGCAGTGAAGACAGGCTGTGGAGAGGAAGGAGGAGAGCCTCCGCCCCCGACGCAGAGGTAACATAGCCGATAACCATTAATATAAAATGTTGCATCATACACTTTCACAAACATAATCAATCGAAAGCGAATCTAATTTGTAGAAACAAGTTATCTATATACAAGAGCAGATTTTAATGTTTATTCTATCAGCTGATAATATATCTTAATTAGTTTATTGATTCCGTACCGTTCAAACGTGTTCATATCTCGTATATTACAAATTTCTTTTATCAGATCGTATCAGTATACGATAAAGACTGCTATATGACGACTGTAAATAACAAAAAATGTTTGTATAACAAACAGATATAGACAACAATGGATTATTGTTTTAACAACATCTTTTTACCCTCTTATAAAATAAATTAATATTTTTTCTATACCGAAAAAAGCAGTTATATAAATAACAATAAAATCTCAGTGTTACATAATATATCCACTAGATTTTAATATAAAATTTACAAAGAAATAACATATATATGTTAATATCGTCAAATATTTAATGCACACTAATTATATAGTAACATATTACGAGTGTTGCATGCTTTGTGCATAATGAGTGTATATTATTGAATATTTATTAAGGTAAAATTACTTGATTGCTGTTTCTATACATTGAAAGCGAATTTTGTAATTTGTGACGTATAGGCGAGTGTTGTGTTGACATTACATACTATACAAGCTTTGGCACCGGATTCGCTTACGACGTTGCTTGATACACATTTATTATACTTCATCTTTTACACTACATTTTATAGTAATAAGGAGTGTAGGTGCAAATAATGAAATATACTTACAAAACTAAGTGTTTGTATTGCATGAACTATAAATTTTACACAATTTTAAATACAGTGGGTACATATTAAATTCTATACAGAAAACACAAGCATGCACACGTAATAAGTAAAACAGTTTTAATAAAAAGAAAATCATTGTGATTTGTGACAAACATATCATTATGTATAAGGAATAAATCAGAATATAATCTAATGTCATATCCGTGACTGAATTCCGCGACTTTATATGAAATGCACACACATAAACTCAACGAATCTAATTCAAGGTCATAACTCGAATTTCCTCTCCTTTCCTTAGTCGGAGGAGGAACAGCGTGCAGGCTCATTGCCTCGTCTTCCCTCCATCGCGGGAGTAGGCCCGGTGAAGTCCGCTCGCTACCGGGCCCCGGGATTTAGGTCCGCAACCCGGGCCGCTTCAGCCCCAGGCCTGCACGTGCCTAGGAGACGAAGGCCTGGGTCTCACGCACACACACCCTCCACACCAAGCCTCCAAGGTATGAATACATTTATATATTCTTTAGCAGTAACCTAACTGTGTATGTTATTTTCCTGTGTAATTTCTTTATAATTTTTCATCATTTCGTCTGTGCATAATCTTTGTGTAGTTTATTCTTTTAATGTTTGAGATCTGATCAATAAATGCAAAAGAGACATAAACTATATACATATTGAAATCTAACACGTTCGTGAGTATACATTATATGAAACTATATTTTCGAATTATACTACGCTTATTTTATTATTTTTAAAAACTACAACATCACGGTTGCTGCAAAGTATAATCCGAAAATATTGGTTTCATATTTTAAAGTATATATTTATTTTAAGAGTATCCTAACAGTTGTGTATGTTTTTTCCTGTGTAATTTCTTTATAATTTTTGCATCATTTCGTTTGATTCAGAGAATAATCATTGTGTAGTTTATTGTCATAGTTTTTAAGATCCGATCAATAAATGCCAAAGAAAAATCTATCAAAGAAATACATACAATATTGTTTACAATATTATCATTCAGAACTCGTTAGAGAAATATTCCATTCTATCAATGAATATAAATATTTCATTCAAATATTTTCAATATTTTCGACTTTTGTTTAAGATATTGTCGTATATTTTTAAACATATATGTTAAAGAACTGATTGTATATTACTTTATATATTACAAGTATGACCTCATTTACTTAACACTTAACCAACAATGTCAATAATTTCATTAAACTGGTTCACGAGAAAAAGTCGCAGTCAGTTGTGTGGTTATATAACAAAAGCTATGTGAAGACCAGTTTAAATATTACTTCCACTGCACAAAAAATAAGCACAAACCACTTGAAAAGTTTAAGCAATGATATAATAAAAATGGGCGTATGTACGGATTGACGTACTGTATTAAAATAGGAGTTATCGTAACAAATCCGTATCATTATTTTTTATCGTTAAACGTGTCAAATGTGTTTGAATGTATAAACAAATCTAGGTAGTTTAAATGTACGTCACCTCAACCTACATAGTCGCGTCATTATAGTTAACTTTTCTCGTCATTATAGTTAATTCACATCAAGTGTGACCCGGCGTTGCTGAACTTGCACTTTTACTATGAACGAGATTTCTCGTATACTTTCATAATTGTCAACTTAGAAAGCTTGACTTACATACAAAAACACAGCAAAATATAACTTAATAAATGTGATTGTATGTCCAAATATGTATAGTTTCATATAACTAGTCTTTTAATCATTGTGCAATAATCGAGACTAAGAACAACCTTAATTGTACCCGGACTTCCTTTCATATATTCCAGTTAAATGCAATATACGTCGTTAATGACAAATTAGTGATTCAAAACGATCTACATTAAATAATCATTAATAATATATATAGAAAAGATAGTGTATTTGAACTGAAACACGCAAAAACACTAGCCCCATTACTATAAAGTTTTAAGTATCTATATAGATAGAATTTAAGAATCTTTTTGTCTCAATAAAACCGCTAGAACACTATTTAAACAAGGCTAAAATAAAGTCTAACAAAATTCTATTATTTTTATCCATACAAAATTGTATTACTCTCGCTTATAAAATATTACTTTACTTCAGATATTTACAAATACTATACTATTTATAAGCATCGAGTTTTCTAACATCGGGTCATCGAACTTTAAGATCGAAATGGCCACGCGCCAATTAACGGTCACAGTTTGTGGCTACATTTTCCATTGAGGAAAAAATGAAATAAAATCTCTATGGGATCAAGATGTGGCGTTATATTATACAAAATCCTTTGTTATAAAGACTACATTATAATACTACGCTCATAAATAGTTTAGTATTCATGTCTGTCCATATATAATCTTCGTTTCACGGCCATGTTAAAAGTAGTTCTAACAGTTACTACTTACTGTATGTATGTAGTATGTAGTACCGCGACTCTAATGGCTACTTTTCCTTTGGTTTCATAAATGCTAATGCGTTTCTTGTTTATCGAACCTTTCTTATAGCATAATGTTCATTTCATAATTAAAAAATAAATATTTTTTGTTCGCTCCTAGCATCAAATACGTAATTATGTATGTATTTTTTTTGAACTGAATTTCCGTTTATCTTTTATAAAATTATCCGTATATGATACATGATTTACTTCACCGTAATAACCTTATAAATATTCCGGATACCGGTTTCCTGTCATTGTTTCCGGTTTAGGAGAGGTGATCTGCGCGTGCGCACTCAATTCGGTTCCAACCTTCCAAGTTACTTAACAGTTAACACCGATTCCAACCGATATCTTTGAAAGGCTGTTGTAAAATTACCATACGCGGCTCTAATACTTATTCAAGTATTTTAGCACAATACTGACCTAAATTCTTGTGACCCAAATAACAAAGGTCAGATTATTGAATCGCTTTGTTATGCTGTGGTTGCTTAATTAACCTTTCCGTTGGTTACGCCACATCAATTAATATTTGGTAAATATTTTGTACAACTTTTTATATAGTAACAGATTTTGATTATATCATTGAAATTTATTACTATTTAGTATTTATCATTGTTCTATTCATAAAAGTAAAAGTAACGTATACATATTATGAATGAAGTAATATGAGAATGATAGAAGTCTTAAAACTTTTGTAGTTTTCAACCGACTAACGAAACGAACGAAACGAAAATATATAAAATAACACGTGTTGGTAATACTTTAGAAGGATTCACGAGTAGATAAGAAAAAACAAAATAGCTTATAAAGCAATTCTTGTAACTCCTTGTAGATATATACAAAATTCTTCTTCTTCCTGACAATTTCCTAGCTTTAGCCAGGGTCTGCCTTACACGTTGTGAATAGTTTTGGCTAATTATTTTTACGACCGGCCGCCTGCCTGACATCAAGCCTCTTTGGGAATGAATCCTTGTATATCAAAATCGTAACTATATTGTAACTTTAAATGTCTTTTAAATATCGTATGTTAGTGTGAGAGGGGTGAAAATAAAAGTGCCCTGAGATCATTGTTTGTAAAGTCAATTAATTTGAAGACCTGTTGCGATGTTAACAATATCACTGAGACGGCTTTCACTCGACTTTTTCTCACATTTCATGTTTTATAGAGCTGTTAATACACTTGTTAAATGTGAATTAACTTACTACGCGTTTACGTAATATTTAATAACTTTAACAAAGTTATAGTCTTATGAAAATGCAGTACACTTAGTGAGTTTTCTATCCAAATTCATAGTTATAAAATTACGGTCAAACTGGTAGTGTTATGTATGTAAACGCGTATTAATCATTTATTAATTATTACTTCATTAAACTGTAGTTTGAATCGATTTCATCAATTTGATTGAAAGTTTTAATAACATAGATTTGCATTATAATTATTTCTTTCGCTTTATGAAAACGTTACATAAATAACGCGGAGCCTACGGTTGTACAACAGTGAACAGACAGCTGATTGCTACTAGTAATAAAACTGTGTCGCCCAGGGTACTATCGCTTAGTACCTTATAAGTCGTGAAGTATTTAAATAAATTATGTTAATTTGAGTCAAAGATGCTTAAACCTTACTTACTTACCTCCTTACTTACCTGAATATATCCTTTCACTTCGGAAGTGGAATCTGGAGGAAGCATCTGTATATACAGGGTGACTGGTGAATTACTATCAATATTTAAGGAGAATACTCGGTACATGATTCTCATTCGAATTATGTAAAAAAAATGTTATATTAATTTTTATTTTGTCATATATGATCGTCAAATATCACGTCCTCAAATATCGATAGTAATTCACCAGTCACCCTGTATATTTGAAGTCTTAGAACCTCTAAGTAATATGGTAATACTACGCTGGCTTATCGTGACCACAGCCTTATGTATGTAGTAACGCCAAGTAATAGTACGCTCCAAATGTCGCAGCGATTATACAGTTGATAAACATTTGGTAACACCAAAGGTACATGTTGATTTGTAATTTAAATACACGAACCTGTTACTTTAATACTATTTATTTTCAATATAATGCTATACTTGTGTTAGTTTTTTCTTGTTTAAAAGGAAGGTTTTATTTGATTTGACTCGAGGTCAACTGGTCTTTGAGTGGCGTCACTCATCGGATGAGCACATTAGTGATCAGTCAGACAATAGTATAATAATTTTAACTCTAATTGAAAACTTATATTTCGAAAATCATTATTTAGAAGTAGAAGGTGCTAAATAAGAATTAGAGTATATAAATAGGTAATATATGTGGCTCTAAAGAATTTTAAAATAATAATCATATAAAATTTTAATACAAGTGCAAAGAAAACAGCGATCTTTAAAAAACTTGTTGTATACGGAACTTGGGTTGAAACCGGTTCATACTTGTCTCTACTAACAATGAGTTACCTTAAACGTCTTGATTCCGTTCTACAATAACATAGGTAATATACACTTAGCTATATTTTAATAATATAAATATTCCTCTAGATAATATATAGAAAATAAAATATGAATATCAAATATAATATTTAAATTGGTTGTTACATTCTTGTTACCATTGTGCGTCGGTTTCACAAGATTTAGGAGAAATGTTACGACACGCTGCCATTCACCCGAGTTGATAAGGAAGAGATAACGCACGCTTCTACCAACTTACAAATACAGAACTAGACCGAGTTATGACTTACCTGCTGGTATTGCTTACCTGAGGTATATTTTACCTGAGATATATTTTACCTGTGGGTGCACTGAAGAGAATATATTCGGTATTCAAGAAATAATTGTTCACGTTTACTTAAACAGAGCGTGTTTCGCGTATATTCGTACACGAATAATCTTATAAAATTTTATTTAGTTAATTAAGTGGAAGACATCAAAATCTTTATTTACTAGTACTTGGTAAAATTTTGCATATTAATTCATATACCTAACTGATATTTTTTACCAGTTTATATATTATGTAAATGAAGACGATAAATTCTTTAAATTCATGAGTAGGTACATATATCGTGAATCAATTATCTAGTTTTTAACCATGCTTCAGTAAAGGTAGTTATGTTTT